GATTTCGATTGAGACGATGGATCCCAGGGATTTCGATGAAAGGACTTGCGTTTGGCTTGTGTGGGCGTGGTTGTGGCAATAACAAAGCACACATTGTAGCATTTCCGCTTCCTCTCTTTATTTATTTTTTTTTTGTTTGGCATTTTCTAATTTCCATTCGCCCGAATCGTGGGAAATGGAATTATGGCAATAGGAACCCACAGAACTCGCTGCCAACGTTTTGGCCAGCATTTTAGTGTAATTGTCGTTATAATAAATAACTTCAACTGTCCGACACTTGACACTTGACATCAACTGCAACGGAAGCGGCAACAGGAGCGGCCAAAAGAAAATCCCCCTAGCCACGGCCCAGGGATGGATGGGTGCAAGTGCATGCAAAGTGCCAGAAAAACATTCGCCATTGCCGCATATTTCAAATGCGGACACATGTAAAAATGCTGAAGCGCTGATAAGGACATTAACATTTGGCCAAACACATAGACACGCGGCCAAAAACGTACCAGGAGGGAGGACTTCCTTCCGCATATGCGAAACATCAGCAACAAGAACAGCAAACACAACAAATACAAAAAAGAAAAGCGGAAAAACCTTCACCTCGTCGCTTTTGACACGCAAATTTATAACGGCAAAGGCGGCAACAAAAACTTGTTGTGGCCAAAACACACAGAAGGCTACACGCGGAGAAAATGGGCTGCAGTTTGTCATTAAAATTAAATTTAAAACTTTTTAGTTTATATAAACGAGCGAGGAAAAGTGATGACAACTAGAAAGTATGCAACGATTAAGACGACGAACAGGACACCGGAAATGAAAACGGATCGACGAGTAAAGATGACAAAGCTGAGAACGAGTAACGCAAATGAGCGAGTAAACATTTTCTTTAAATATTAAAATCAATACAAAATATATACATAAAAAATATATTTATATATTTAATTTATTATCTTCCAAATCCTTACAAACCCTAAGGCATAAGAGAAAGAAATTTGAAAATATTTCATCCTTAAGCCCCTCTTATTTCAAATTTGTGTGAATCCAAAAGTATCTGTTTTTCCAAGTGCCACAAAATCTAAAAGTAAACCTCCAATCCGCCCTGAAAATAAAGGAAGGCACAAATTTTGAACGCATACAAATGCAATTTAAATTTACTTATTTAGAACCCCTGGGAATTTCAAATTATTTGCCTTTTCACGCAAATTTAGCGACCATTTTTCTAACAGAAATAAAACTCAGACAGGTGGGCCTCCGTCAGCAAAAGAGGGCTTTGCATAGTTGGGGGTACTTCCCCTTCCATAGATATGTGTACAACGGGCTGATTCTTGGGCGCAACTTTTTCCAGCTCGGTTTTTTTTTTCTGTTTCTTTAGACGGGAGGGGTCGATTAGAAAATGCTTTTCCCCCCCCCCCCCCCAAAAAAAAAAAGAAAGTTACCCAAAAGGCTCTGACAAATGCTCTTTGGCCAGCATGTTGTTGCTTCTGCGGTGATTAATGACGTCGAAAGCCGAAAGCAGGATCTACTCTGCGGGGATGCCGTGGCAGCTTAATTTAAAATGAAAATTGTACTTAATTTCTAGCTGAAGGGGGGAAGCGACAGGACGAGGGCGGGGGCTTGTACAAGGCAACTTGCTAGACTGATTATGCCCTTCATGGTTTTCCTTTGTGCCCTATAGGGGAAAGCCATCCCTATGTCAGACCCCTGGTTCATTAGAAATGAGCTAACGCAAATATTACATTTTTGTTTAATGAATTTCGTAAACTTTTTGGCGCAAAAAAAAAATAATAAACGAAAAAAAACTGTATGCATTTTAATACCCTTGCAGGGTGTTTCAATTTTAGTCAAAAGGAGTCATTTCCGACTCTATAAATCATATATATTATTGATCAGCATCTTTGGGAGAATCTTTTTAGGCATGCCTGGTCCAAAAATAAATTTTCAAAATTTTTTCAAAATTTCCTAATTTTATAAGGGGTTACATCATTAAAATGTTGAAAAATCGGCCAAAATTCACAAATTGAGTATGCAGTTTTATTAACCTGCTAAAAATGAACATAAGACCGCTTTCCGAATTGAAATTAATTTAATTAATTTTTTAAATTTTGATTTGTAATAAAATTTGCATATAAAATTATAGTTAATATTGAATAAAAAATGGTATTTCACCTTAAGTCAGAAGCTTAAAAGAAAGTGAAGGAGTCATTTCCGACCCTATAAATCATATATATTCTTGATCAGCATCAAAAGCCGAATCGATCTAGCTATGTCCGGCTAAAATTTAATTTTCTCAATTTTTTGCAAATTTTATAAGGGATTACATCATTAAAATTGTCAAAAATTGATACAAATTTTAAATTTCTTAAACTTTAAATTGAGTATGCAGATTTATTAAACTACTAAAAACTAACATGGGAACGCTTTCCGAATTGAAGTTAATGCATTTTTGGCTCAGTTGTGAGTTTTTTAAACTGTGATATATTGAAAAAGTGATCTATAAAAAAAATATATAAACATTGATTCAAAGAATGCGATTTATTAAGCTTTAATTCAATCCTACAATTCAATAGCAAATTTGAAGGGTATATAATCTTCGGGCTTCTGAACTTAGATTGTTTTCTTGTCAGAAATTAATTCTCGTCTAGAAATATATTTATGAATGTCAAGCTTCAACAACTCAGGCAGAAAACAAATTCTGGCAATAAACACCACCATATTTACATTAAAATGTATAATTTTTCTTAAGAAAATACAGACATTTTTTTAAAGATATTATGAAAATATAGCAACAAAATATTACATTTAATATAGAAACACAAGAAAAATAACCGAGTATTCTTCTTAATTATTCTAAAAATCTAGATCTTTTCATAATTTTGTCATTGTCTAAAAGTCAAAAGCTAATTAATAAATCAAGTACCCAGTTAGAAATATATTATATTTGCAACCCTGCACATTCCTACCTGTGAATATATCCATAAAAATCCTCTTTCATTAATTAGCCCGACACATTAAAACGACGATCAACTTTCCAGATTAAACTCGCTTGTTTTTCTTTTAATCCAAATCATTCCACAGATATGTGTGTGTGTGGGTCGGTGGGAGGGAGAGTTTATCATTCGAGTCGACTGACTGTCCCCACCACAAGCAAATTGAATTAAGATTACCACACAAGGATTTCAAAGCATTTGCGGAGAAGTCAAACAAGCTTTAGTTTATTATTATTATTGCGTCAGAGTGAAAAGTTTCAGCCACTCGGCGGCGGCGGTTGACTGCGGGGGAGGGTAGAAAACGTGGGTTGGAAAATTCTCAATCGCAATCTTATGGTTTATTTCTTTTGCACCAAAGCTACTTTATTTTGACAGCAGACAAACAAATGTCAGAATTGAAATTAAAAGGAAAGGCAGCGACAGCCAGCAGCAGAAGTCTGTGGAAAACTTGTGAAAAACACGCCCGACAAACTCAAAGACGTAGACGAAGGTTTTTCCAAGGGCTGAAAGTGGGATGGGTGCCCCACTGTGGCCGCAATACGCAGTTTCAATCAGAAACTCTGGATCCACAGCCCACGAATCCGAATCCGACTCCGGACTTTAGACTCTAGACTGTAGACTCGGGCTCAATTCCATCAACACCCACACGCACTGCTCCACTGACTTCCCTGTGCATTCTCAATCCCAATCCGAGTCCCACTTGCTGTTTTCCTTTCTTTTTTTTTGTATTTTTTGTACATTTCACACAGCGTGAAATTTTCTAAATGTCATTTTGCTGTCATCTCGTGGATAATAAGATTACAACTACGCTGAAATAATAGGATTCAAATGAAAAAACTTTGCCGTCGTCGTCGCCTGTCTCCTTGGCGCGTCTCAACTTTCAATACGCACCGAGAGATATATATCTGGATTCTGATTCAACATTGGTACAGTGGTCTTAAGAATGAAAGCTAAATCTAACTAAGGTGCGAAGTACCAATAATTAGGTATATTTAAGTGCAAGTTAGCTAGTAAATGAATTTGAAATCTTAGTAGAGTGTAATAAAATCGTGTCTATAATAACTTATTAACTATATTTCTATGCAATTATTAAGACAATTAATGCAATTTCTAACAATAATTACAGTTCTATACACCTCATCATTACATCACCATAGTTAATGTCTGAATACCTTTCCGATTTCAAGCAATTATCTTCCTAAATATAAACACTTTTCTGTAGCATCTTTATAATATAAACCCCTTAATCCATCTTACGTTTCAACTTGCTATTTTTGAGGCTTAAAAAATACAATTTCTTACTTTTAACGATGACCAGCAGTATATTGTTTTTTGCCCTCTTAGCCCACTGTAGGCTAGGGGGGCGTTGTCGTCATTTGGTCTCTGGATTTACCACCTGGAATGGGTCGCTGTGGAAAGTTTTTTTTGATAGAGTGCGGCGATAATGAGTGAGCAAGCAAGCCACAACTCCAGCTCCATTGCCACCTCCCAGCTCCCATCTCCACCCCCATCTTCCACATCCATTCCCACCTCCTATCCACCATTTCCTCCAACAAAATAATCCCAATCCATTGTCGATGGTAACTTGAGCGACCTATGATCTTGAGACCACTTGAGGCGTCGCTGTCTGTTCCACGTCTGCGTTCTATTTGTATAATTGATTCGATTCTCCCGATGGAGAAGGCGGTTTAATGAACCATGCTTTTGTGGCGACCATTACTTCAGATTGTCTGCGTGCCCTCGGGCCACAAATCGACGAAAGTACATACTTGCCATAGATGGCAAATAAGAAATATAAAATATAAATAAAAAACAAATGCAAAAAAATAAAACCTAGCCTAGGTAAAAAGAAAACGGGAGAAAAACAAAAACGAAGACCAAAACAAAGTCCAAAAACCTATCAGCTGGCGTAAGATGGATCACTGCCCGGGGCCATAAAGAGAAACCGGCTTTTATGGCCCACGAATCAGCTATAAAAGCGGCGATCACGGCCCAAACCGGCATCAGAACTTCCCCAATCGTTCTAGCAAAAGTCATCAGCAGCAACATGAACTCCTACTTGGTGATCGCTTTGAGTGCTGTGCTCTTGGCCCTGGCCATTGCCACGGTGAGTTTTGAGTCTAGATTCCTAGTTTCACTACTAGAAACTAACAAAAATCCCTTGATCCTTTAGCCCATCGAGCTGAACGAGGATCAGAAGGCTCTGGCCAAGCAGCATGGCGAGCAGTGTGCCGCCGAACTGAATCTCACCGAGGAGGAGAAGGCCAAGGTCAAGGCCAAGGACTTCAAGAACCCCACTGAGAACATCAAGTGCTTTGCCAACTGCTTCTTCGAGAAGGTTGGCACCCTGAAGGACGGCGAAATCCAGGAGGCTGTTGTCCTGGAGAAGCTGGGCGCCTTCATTGGCGAGGAGAAGACCAAGGCTGCCCTGGAAAAGTGCAAGTCCATCAAGGGTGAGAACAAGTGCGATACTGCTGTGAAACTACACGAGTGCTTCGAGACCTTCAAGGAGGTCAAGGCCTAAGGAGTTCGGTTGGAAGGAGTTTTGGCAAAATTGTGATTTGAAAATAATTTAAAGTTAAAGCCCATTAATATGATAAATTTGAATATACAACCTTTTGTCAAATGAAAGTTGCTTCAGAGTTTTTTATTCCTATGTTGTGGCTTTAGAGCTCTTTTCGAAAATATAACACTGGGACAACTAAAGTACTTAAAGAGTAAAGCGCTTTTATATTTTCCGAAAGTAAATCCAAGCACTAAATAAAATTCAGTAAAATATTATTTGTAACGTTGTTCCATCTCCTGGTCACTGAGCATTGATTGAGCTGTGGACTCGGCTCTGCTTCCACGGCGAGATGCCATTATGGTGTTACGCTTAGAGATTGCTTCTTGTGTGTTGCACAATATACAGGTTTCAACAAAAAGCTCTAGATCCGTGTCATTAAGGAGACGGGCAATGGGCAAGGCGTCCTCCAGGGCCTCCTTGGTCTGCTCCAGTTTGTGCAGAATGGCATTGGCCTTGACTATCTGCACAACGCTCAAGAATTTCCAAAGATTGCTGTTGCAGTTTTGACTTTCTAAAGAGACATTATTAATTATAAGCTAATGGGATGAGATATTAATGTGCTAACCCCTAATGGCCCGGCGAGCATTAAAAGTACACTCTGAATGGCGACCCTGATCCAAATGCGTTTGGGCAAGATGGTGCAAAAGATAACACTTTTCGATCGAGTACTTGGCAAAGACCATACGCTTTTCCAGCCTTGCCGTTAGATTTCTAAAGTTAAAGATTATAATTAGGCTAATTCTAGTATAACTGGGAGATAAATCTTACTTGGCCCTATTTGCTGATGGATCATTGGCATCCGGCTCAAGGTGAGTGGAGCGATCCCCAAAGACTAAGGAAACAAAATCCTTAACCTTATCGGTGGGCATGCGCAGCAATCTGAGTATAGCCGAGCTTGATGTAAGATTAAAGTTCTTTGGCACACGAAGTTGTTCGGCCAATGCCAAAGCCAAGGTATTGTAAACCTCGTTAATGAACTCGAACTTCCAACACATAACACGGGAGGTCTTCAACACCACATAATCGCCCATCACCTCCTCCACGTACTTGGCCAATAGCTGTGAGTTTGCAAATAGTTTTTTTTATACTTCAAAATACCTATTCCAATTAAGGTTTCCAAACATACCTGAGGCTTCTTAGCCTTTCGCAGAACTTTAATCTGTTTCAATACCGTATTCATGGTGCGATGCGTCTGATACTGAACACGAAACAGGTAAGCCTCCCTGTACCTTTCGGACATTGCCTTATTGCGATACTTCAAGTAATTGACCAAATAAAGGGGACTACGTGATTGCAACATTTTCTATGTAGAGTGAAAACCAATTATTAGTGTTTTTATAAAACCAAAAACAAATATCAAGTCTTACCATAAACTTGCGCACGATTTCATATTGTTTCCGGGAGATATTGTACAGGAAATAGGAGGACTCTTTGCACTGGGGCAGCAGCAGGTTGGGATTCTTGGCCAGCATCTTCATGAAGAGTACATCAATCCAGGAGTCATTGAGATACGACTGATGGAATATGTTAAAGGCACGCTTTCGGCGTGCAACCTCCATGGGCGACAGCAACTCCTCCTCAACATCCTGGATACTCTGCACATCGCACTGGCCCTGCTCCTTTAGGACCTTCCACAGCGGTCTCGTGTCCACCTTTAACTTTTGTTTCATCAAATCATTCACGATATTGGCTGTTTTTAGGTTCTTCGAGAAGAATGCAGTCATTGCCTCGCCGGTCACATCCTGGATAACACCGTCCACCTAATCAGATGAAGACATTTGCAAAAAAAATGTGTATCAAAGAGTGTATTCTTAATTAACTTATATATATGTATTAATATTACGAAAAGATTGGAAAACCCAACCCTTTATTTAAGGCAACTTACCACTAAAACACGCTGCTCAAAGCTTTTTCTTTTGTTTCCGGTAAAAACACGCATATTATTATGCAAAGCCGCCTTGCTGTTCTCAAACTGGTTCAATTCGTAAAGGACATCGCATATGTCCAGCTGGATAACAGCCTTCTCCTCACCATCAGCCTCGCGGGCCAATTCTGGAAAAATTATATAAGTTTCAATGATAAAAAGTCCTTTCTCTAAGTGCTTAAGAACAAAGCTTAAACATTGCAAGCATTTGCTAATTCTAATATTCAAAGAAAGCTATATCTTGTGTTATATTTTCTGGTTCCCTAAATGGTTATTAAAAGATAAACTCACTGGCTGCATCACGACTGTCCTGCAAGGCTCCATGCATCTGAGCGGCTTTCCTTTTAGTCTGGCATCTCTTGTAAAGGGTCATGTGATCATGGGGCTCCAAATCTAAAGCTTTGTTGAGATAATGCAATGCAAAGTTCTCCCGGCGGCGGCGAGAGTAATAGGTGCCCCAATCCCGGTAGATGTCATGAAGGACCTCATCCGACCAATCTATTTTCATCCATTGTGGAATTGGCTCCTCGCCCTTAACCTTTGGTATCTCAACAATGGAAGTCATTTTGCCGTTTCAAATGCTTTGTCATAACCAACTAAATAAGTAGTGTTCATTAAAAATAAAAAAAATAAATTCTCCTTGGACTATACTTACATATATCTCTAATAGATACGAGCTGTTGGTTTTCTTAAAGTGTGAAATATGTAAAATCTTTGCTAAAATTGGAATATACAATGAATTTGTCAAAGATTAAAATACATTTGAATGCTACTGAGAGACGTTGATGTCTGATGAAAATAAATTCAAATGGTATTAGCTGAAAAATCCTGGCTTGCTATGAGTTCCATATATGAGGCAGAATCAATAGCAGGTAATTAAGTACAGCCTTAGTTTAAGCAGTAAACACTTTAATTAACTTTATTCTTTGGAATGGAATGCTAAAGGACATTTTAGGAGAAATCCGAACTCAACCACTGAATCCCTTGACCACACACTTCTCGTAATTAAAGACAAAGTCACATGTGGTGGCTGATTTTGTGGTTCCACAACTTGTGAGCAGTGCCTTCAACTTATCCGCTGGCAGACTACTGAATCGGATCTGGGCAAACTTAAGGATCTTGTCATTATTCGGCTTGTTGTCATCGCCAAGGAGTCCCAGCTTCTTGTAGACGCAACTGTGGTAGCACTTGACGGACTCCGAGGGATTGGCCACCTCCTTGTCGGTGGTCAGCAGGTTGGCATCGCTGGCGGCAATGTTCAGTTCCTTGATGCAAGCCTGTTGCATTTGCTTATAGGCCGCCACTTCGGCAGCTGTTTGACCCTATAGAGTATACAAATTCTCCTGTAAGGATCAAACATTAAGGATATCTGCTCGAAAGTTACCGCTGCCCGTTCACTCAGGGTGAAAATGAGGAAAACGATGACTATTAATCCGCTGACTTTCATGGCTGCAAAAGTATCTGCACTGACACATTGAGCGAGTTAAAGCAACTTAAATACTCGTGATATTTCGATAATTGTAGTATAACTTCCATTGATTAAGTTATTAAAATTCAATTACTTATATTATTCAATTTTCCAACAATTTTCGAATATAATTTGTTGAAGCAATTGACTGTTTTTAAATTTATGGTCAGCAGGCGTTAAAAATATCCCCAGCCCCCAGTGATCATTCGGGTCAGTGAGCTATACTTTTCACTTATTTAGATTTTGATTCAGACCGTATTGATTTTTATTTTATTATTTATATTTTATGCGGGAGAAATATGACCGATTTCATTTTAAAAATTTACTACGGAAAGCTTTTCTTTTGAAAGATTTGAATACTATTAACAATTACTTTTTAAATATAAATGTTACTGATTTTTGAGAGTAGTGTGGATGGGATTTGATCGGTATTTTAAGATTGAAGTGAAAAATAAATGCCAAAGCATCAGTATAAAGTAAAATATATAAAAAAAAAATAAATATAAAATATATACATTTAAAATTATTCTGTATTTATGCGATGTTTTTACATACTTTTATTTAAGTAATAATGGATGACAAACTGTCCAAAACCAGCCGAAAATTATACTTTAAATGTTTCCCATTTCTCTCAGTGAACATGAGTGCCCAAGAGTGGGCTTTAATATTTACGCTTCTCTTTGTCAAACTAAAAATTCTCTTATAATAATTATTTAAGTACTTTTACATTAAAAGCTTCCCGGAATGGTGGGTTTATCACCAAAATAGTATATTTCATTGCTCTATGATTTTTAATTTTACAATTTAATGTTGTTTAAAAACTCTTGAAAAGACTTTATAGATACAGACACAAAATAAGATGGGATGAAACCCAGAAATACACTCTCAACCTACTCCGACTTGGTTACCGCCTCGCCGGAATGCTGAATGCCATCGATAAAGTCAGTGCCATCGGGTCCGAGGCCCTCGCTCTCCGCCTCCGTCCGCTCCAGAATCTCGCGGATCCGCTGCTCCGCCTCCAGCGTCTTGAGATGATTGTAGCACAGGTGCAACTTGTAGGCTGCCTCACAGCGGGTCTTGCCCTGCAAATCGCTGCACTCCTTTATCTCGGCCTTCTCGTGCTGAATAATTGTCTGGACCTGGTTCTTGAAGGCCTCCTCTAACAGGACATTATATCGATCCAGATCCAGTGTCTCATACAGACAGCTCACGAAGCACTGCAGCGGCTCATTATGCTTGAGATCGAGGAACGGCAGCTGGCCACCGCCGGGATAGTCCAAGTCTCCCAGGTTGTTCACCTCACCCATGGACTGAGCCGGAGCGGGAACAACATCATTCTCGTTATTATAATCATTGTTCATCAGACTCATGTGGAAGAGCTTCAGCTGAGACATTGAAATCTCTGTTTTACGCATACAGGACCTTAGCATCTCCTGGCTGAGCTTGGGCTCGGTGCCATTAAGTGGATCCGGGGTGAGGGTACGGGTCATTGACATATTCAGGGAAACGGTCAACGAGCGGCTCTGTAAAGGACAGTTTTTTATAATATTTATTCATATACAAAATATATTACCCAAGCTAAGGGCAAGAGAGCACTGAGTGCCAGGCACAGCAAGGACATCCAATTGTTTTGAAGAGACATTAAAGCTAGATTTTCACTATCGATCGATCGTTGCTTGGGTGTTAAAAAAGTTGGGAACTATGGAGCCAAAGCCGGTTGCACAAACCTCTTTTATAGATGCCAGCTTCAGGGATTCAATCTCCTTTTTAATTGCTGTTTAATTGTTGTTTAAATCGATCGGAAAATGAGTGTAATGCCTGACTTGATATACAACCATCAAAGCGATCTGGTTTTAGATTCAGACCAAATAATGTGCCATGGGTCAATGCATTGCCAAAAAACATTTGCGGGCGAGAACTGAAATTAGCGTTGGCCAAAACTCTCATTTGTCATATTAATGGCCTCTATGATTACGCAAAAGGGAAAATGGTTTTGCAAAAAAATGTTTCAAGCTCAATTTGGCAGATGAATCTACAAACCATTTAAGTTCCGTTCCATAAAACTGTTGTTAAAAAACAGTTTTGAGGCAATTACACTATATACGTCTGTTTTTTGTAATGCATTGTTTATCAAATTCAATTAAAATAATCACTACAATTTTCAACTAATTTGTTTACGTGTCTAATCAGAGGCTATTTTTTTCTCCACAATGCTCTGAGAAAAATGATAGAAAAAAAACGCTCTGAATCTTGAATTAGATTATAGAGGATTAATAGTAGAAACCAATTTAATCACATTAGTTGCAACCGCAGCCAAGTCGAGTTTCTCCTTGGTCCTTCTCTAATTGAGGGACTTAATAACAGTCTTGTGCTGATAACAGGGAACACAACCGCAGCCCCACATATTGGTCTTTAAGATCAAAGGACCTCCATACGGACAGACAAAGGCGAAAGACAACATCGGGCCATGGCAGTGGCAGAACCACCCCGCACCGTGTAGTTTTTATAAAATGAAATTACATTAATGTGAGAACCGCAGGCCAAGGCCCCCGGCCAACCCGACTTCGACATCGACATCGACTTCAACTTCAACTTTAACTCCCATTCCCCATCCCAGCTCCTTGGCCAACATTGTAAGGCAACTTAACAGCAACGAGACAAGCCAAACAAGACGGCCAAGACAAAGGCTGATGCCGAGCATCGATGTCCTTCTATCCCGGCCACATCACGCATCCTGCTTCCTTTGACAAGCCGCCAAGGCGGCTGTCTACTTAAATGCATTAGCTCGCGGGGGTGGAATCCTATGATTGGGCTGCCTTTTTAATAGACATTAGTAAACGCATCACTGACTGTTGTTGGCCAGGCTCCCCTCCATCCGTCCTTGTGCAGACAACTGCAACTGAAACGGATGCTAAATGGAACTGACATGACAGCCAGACCATTCGCAGGAAGTGACAAAATGAATTATAGACGCCAAGTCCATCAACACTTGGGAAAAGTTTTTCAGAATAATAGTCTAGGAGTTATGGAAAAAATAGGACAACAAAAGAAGGGATTAGTCATAAGACATAAGACCTTGGAAATGTGAAAACTAAAACGCAAAATGTATTGCCTACTTATGTGGATGAAATTAGGGAGTTGAAACTTCTTTTGGAAAGATATATTTAATAGGAGATCACTGAAACAATTCTTAAAATGTATTTATATACTTCAGAGAGATTAAATTTAGATGTGTTTTTATATAATTAAAAATAATATATACTAATATATATAATATATAATATATAATATATAACATATAATAATAATTCAAAATCATCTAAAATCACAAATATATTACAGTTATATATAAACTTAATAAAAGAAAACAAAGCTTAGAATGAATAACCTTAAAATCTTTGTTAAATCTTCTAGTAAATTTCTTTGTTTTTAGCTCCTTTTTATTTTTTTAAATCTCTATTAAATCACCAAGTAAATTCCTTAATTTTTATCCCCTTTTTTCTCTCAGCGCAAAGTCGTTAGTTTATCCAGTTTGTGCTCCAAATTCCCCAAAGCCAAAGCCGTGGCCAAAGCAATTGTCCCTTATGTTCCCCCCAAAAGAACCATCCCGTCCCAAGTTAAACTGGTAAATGCAATTGCGACACGTGCTCAATGAATGTTTAATGATTTGTTAATTGGATTTGGGCTTTTAAAAACACGGTTGCCATCCCCTTTATACCCGGTGTCCAATTCATTTGTTCGGCCGCCACGCATGTATATAGTCCTTCTCAGTATCCTGCATCCATGCTCGTAAGTTCCGCAGCCGCTCATCAATATTTATGCCAAACATGAGCGTGCCAATGCCTTTGGGATCGGTCCTCCGACCAAGGACTTAAGCCCCTGACGACGGTCTGACAGTGGGCTCTAATGATGGCCCACTGTTATGCAAATGGGTGCGTGTGCCCCACGCAAATGGGTCAGACTTGTACAGTGGAGCCTCTCTCCCAATGACAAGATTCGAATATGCATAAGTAATTATGTATAAGAATTTCGTCTTTAATTTCCTCTGAGATGAAAACTGTGGAGCGGGTGGGGTATGTCAAAGTTCAGAAAGTTATTTAACTGAAAAGTTCTTGTAAAAAGTTCAATATCTTCCGAGGCGGGTGGCTTAGTTGAAGGTTTGTCAGGTAATAAATACACAGGAAAAAGCTTGGTATTTTTCTGCAATCAGGTTTGGGGGTGTAATTGTATTTTTATAAGTAAAAAATATAGAAAATGTTGTAATGCGAGGAAAAAATTCGTTACTAACTCCTTGTTTTACAGGATTATTTGAAGTTTAAACTTTGAAGCTATGTAAACAATATCTTGGAGTCTTAGTAACACTTCAAGTAACTCTTTATGTACCCTCAAAGTATTTAGCTTCATTAAGCTCTGGGAGCAGTAAGAACTTCAACAAATCAATACAAATAATAAATTAAAATAAACCCTCTGCAATTCGCATAGATTTCTCCTTGTTTAAACTTTAATTTAACAAATTTCTTTAACAATTCACAGACAGATATTATCACACATAATACATTTGAAGGCTGGGCGGCCGGCTTAGATGTGGGCGCGGTTCTCGTAGTAACACTTGTACAACTGGAAGGCGGTATCGCACTTGTCAGCTCCCTTGAGCGAATCGCACTTGGCCTGAACGGCCTTGACATTGTCCTCGCCGGCCAAGGGTCCCAGCTTGGCCAAGACAACGGTGGGTTGCAACTGACCATCAACCATGAAGCCGGTCTTCTCCAGGAAACAGTTGGCAAAGCACTTGACCTTTTCGTCGGCATTCTCAAAGTTACCGGCTCTCAAGGCGATGGCCTGGTCCTTGGTGATGCCCTCCTGCTGGGCACAGAGGGCACCATTGGCATGGGCCACTGCCTTTTGCTCCTCAGACAGTTGCAAATCCTATTTAGGAGATGTATATGCATTATAAACTGAAGCTTAATGGTCCACAAACTGTACTCACGGCAACGGAAACGGCCAGGATGGCGGACAGGACAACTAGGAACTTCATGGTGATAGAGAGATGCTTTTGTTAACCCTTTGGTGGCGAAACTGCTTACTAGACTCAATCAGCGACTGGCTTTTATATGATTTCAAGCCAAGCTTGCCTAGAGTTTTTATTTTTGTTTTTTTGATTATCGCTTTTTGTTTTCGCTCTACTCCGCTGCTCACGCCCCGTATATGCAATTATATATATATGCCGATTAGTTTATTTAAATCGCCGCTTTAATGATCTCTCCCCATCGTTTTGTTCTGTATTCGATCTCGGTGATAACTCCGCGACTCAGAGTCTGAGTCACCCATTTTGGCTTAAAGTCCACATCGATATACAGGGACTGGGATGGCAATTAGTGCGGCTCAGTAAGTGCATCAAGTTTTTTACGATTTCCATTGTACTGATAATTGGCCACACACTCGGAGCTCATTATCTGCGACTGAAGTAATTTGATTTCCATAATGTAAGTGCTAATTGTATTGTCAGTTTTTTCACCGATTAAAAAAAAAATGTATATATACAATATGTATGTATAGGCTGTACTTGCCAAGGGTCGCTGCGCTCAGCCAAGCGTCAGATCATTTTTTGTTTACAATAGTTCCCAAAACCTTAAACTTGAAATGCAACTTTTTGTGGCCAATCAGTTTTTACAAAGGTTTTAAAAAAAAATTCGCAAATCTAGCATGATTGGGTAACTTTTGGCAAGAAAAGTAAATGGGAGAACTCTCTTACTTTTGGGAATAACCATTGAGCTGGTCAAAGATCAGCTGGGGCTTACACACAGCATGAATTGTTCAGCAAGTATTAAAAATAAACAATAAATAAATTAGAAGGTGCATTAACACTCTTACTATATCTTTGTCAATTTTAACTACCAATAATATTTATCTGTGTTTTTGTGTGGCATCAAATTGCCCTCCTTTTAATAAGCAAACAAACTTATAAATCTTTTCGTTATCTGATAAGCTTGCTAATTTGATGCCAGCTTTATAAATAAGACAATAAACCTTAAGCCAAATTTTGAATACTTTTCTATTTAAAATAGATTAAGCAAAAACCGTGCTGCTTTTAGGCTTCAATTTCTATTCAATAAAATCAGCATTTACATTAACGTAATGTTAGTCTGGCTTCAGCAAACCAGTTTCATCTTATCAAGCAATTTTTTCCGCTCGTCATCTTTACCCATTGTTTTTGGTTTGTTTTGGCCAAAGTTTGAAGTCAAGTGCCGGGTATCAAAGTCCAAAAATTCAAATGAGTCTCGAGATCTCAAGTCCATTCGATGAGTCTGAACTGGTTTGCCTGATTGGGCTTTTAGCCCAGTAAAGTGACGCTGTCTTGTGTGGCAATTAAAGTAACATTTCGCATGAATTTTGAATAGATCAGAACGTTTAAGTGGGCTCCAAATTACGATAATGGCCGCATTTACCAAAAGTTTTGGATGTGCTCCTGTACGTGCAACAACTTCTGGTTCATCATATTTTATCAATATTTATTGCTGACAGCATCGATAATTCATGACCTACTCAAACTATATAGCCGTGCGCCTTTCGAAGGCAAAACTTACCGGAGCAAACTCGTAAATAGTTACGCACGCCAGGCAAAACAAAATGTCAGAACGATTATTGCGGCCCATCGTCGCCTGCCAGGATACAGCAGAAATAAAATATTTAAATAGTAATAAATTCATAATGTCATCGGGGGCATTCAGCCTGGGGGTTCCTCCCAAACGATTTATAGACAATAATAACTGAAAACACGAAGAACCGAGTGACTCCTCAAGTAGTTTGATTTCAGTTCAAGGAGTCGCAGAGGGAAGAAAGTGCTGACAAGTTGTCGGTTTTTCCCCAGAAGAAGTCCTTTTTTTATTTGGAAATATTATGAGAGAAATTCAAACAGTTGTTCCTTAAATATTTATTTTACTTGCATTAAAGAGACTTATATCTATATATATAAAAATGCTCTGTTCGTGTCTACATCCTTCATAGACTCGAAAAGTTCTGAACCGTTTAAGCCCAAATTTTTACACAACATGCGTTGAGGTTCCAGCTCGGTTATTGACTACTTTTGATGTTGATAGCTTATCTGCGGTGGCGAATATATCTATTTTTTTAGCGTTTCCAAGTGCCCCTACTGCTGCGCCATCTACAGGCAGCCAGCTGAATCAAAGCATTTCCTGTCAAACATTCAAAACATATTGAAAGAAGAAACTTGAAAAGTTCTGAACCGTTTATGCCCAAATTTTTAGAGAACATGCGTTGAGGTTCCAGCTCGGTTATTGACTACTTTTGATGTTGATAGCTTATCTGCGGTTGCGAATATATCTATTTTTTTAGCGTTTCCCCGTGCCCCTACTGCTGCGCCCTCTACAAGCAAATCAAAGCATTTCCTGTCAAACATTAAAAACATATTGAAAGAAGAAATTGGAGATACAAATTTTATTTTTTGTTCAGGTTCAGTAAGAAACGAAGTCATGCCACCAAAGAAGTCGAGATTGGGTCGTCGTATTCGCAATACAGAAGCAAAAAGACGTAAGATTACGAATATGACTGACGAAGAACGGGCCTCCATCCGAGAGACTGACCGGCTGCGCGATGAACTTTTACTCATACAGGTTAATGGTTCGGAGGACCGATTGCAATCATATATTGAAATGTCGTCAGTTGTTTCATCAGTACATTGTCGATATGTATGCAAAAATTGAAACAACGTTTGCTGTTCCTCCGATTGAATCAGAAGAAACTTCGGTCCGAGGAATATATCCATTTGCAGGATGCTGTGATGAATGACCGTAATACAACCAACGTTGGAAAGCTCACGATTTTGCCATCCTCATACATAGGTAGTCCGAGCCACATGCATGAATATGCTCAAGATGCCCAGGCATATGTTCGTTGCTACGGCCGTCCAGACTTATTTATCACCTTCACATGCAATCCAGCTTGGGACGAGATAGTTCAGCTGTTATTTCCTGGACAATCATATAGGGATAGTCATGACATCCCAGCCCGTGTTTTTAGACAAATATATCTGCAAGTACGTGAATAAAGGCAGCGATATGGCAGTTTTTGGTGTTCAGGAAGAAAATGGGGACAGCAATGCAGTACGAGTTGTCAATGAAATATCTCAATACCAGGCTGGAAGATACAAAAGCAGCAACGAGGTTGCATGGAGAATTTGTTCGTTCCCCATTCATGAACGCTATCCAGCTTTAGTTCACTTGGCAGTCCATTTGGAGAATGGTCAACGTATCTATTTCACAGAAAGAAATGTGCAAGAAAGAGTCCTGAATCCGCCAGCGACAACTCTGACTGCCTTCTTCACCTTATGCCAGGAAGATGATTTTGCCGGAACATTGATGTATTCAGAAGTGCCCTCTTAACTACAATATGCCACAGAGAAACGTGGCAGGGTACAGCTAGTTTATTATAGAAAAAGTTTCTTTTTTAGCTGGCATTTATGAACAAGTTTCTTATACTGTTTTCCTTAATATTCTCCTTTGTTCCTATAATCCTTTTGACAGCAAAAGGAGTTGTCAGCACTGATGAGACAGCTTATTTACCTGGTGCAAAAGTTCGCATTGCTGTTTCCCCAAAAAGTTTCCACAGAAGAAGCGAATATAAAACTGTTTTATCGCAGACATGATAGGAACGGAATGGAACGGGGGGAGGAGTGGAGAGGACTGTCGCATGTGGCTCATATATAATATAAATATTAAATACTATATGGCATGCCATAAAAATATAAACAGCACATAAAACGACAATGAAAAACAATGGCACACGTTATTATGTGCCCCAGGACCAGCCGCCAAAACGGCTAATGAAATGTCATCGGACCCGAGGGCCCGAGGTCTCGACTCCGTCAAAACTGAACTGAAATGCAAATGTCACGCGAAAAACTATTTGACGACAACATTACGTTGACATAATAATAATAATAATACCCAGCCAGCCAGGATCCCATTCCCCTTTGAAGTTAAAGCCAAAGGCTCCAGCTCTGACTCCACAGTCATATGCAAATTTTACGAGCTTCTTATGACCAGTCATAAAAGTCAATTTATTAGCAATGAGAAATTAAAAAGAAAAAACAATTAAATAAGTGCAAAGCGTGAATTTGATTACGGTCAACGTTTTGGGAATTACCTGGGCAAGGATTCTCTGTGGAATGGTATCGAAAATTCCCTGGTTTCTTGGCCAATTGATAAGGTTTTTAATAGGTCCCAAAAAGGCAATAAAATTCTTAATTAGATTGTATTTTTAGTGTAAGTTGCTAAGCCTTGTTTTAGGTTCATTTTTATTAATTTTAAGTGCTTCTAAACATATTTTAAAATAACTAAAAGATCGAAAAGACATCATTACTTTTAGTTTTAAATATATATAATAGGTTTACTGATATGAAAACATTGTTCTTGACACTTTTAAGTAATTCTTTACATCTTGATATTAACAATGCCTGTTAGGGAAATAATAATGTCACATTATTTAAACGAATTTTTATTCAAGGTTGTAGCAAGCCTTGTATTTTTCATTTATTATAAAGCCATCTTATTAATTTTTAAAATTTAATTATCAACTTTAATCTCGTCCAAATAACTTAAATAAATTAATAAACTTTCACACCTGCCATAAATTAAATCAAATTTATGATTAAAAAGTATGCCACAAGACATAAAAATTTAATAAAGAAACAATTTAATATAAATATATAACTTTACTCGTGCTCGTGTTCTAATTATTATGTTATACGATGTTATGATACTGACTGATAAAAATCAATAATTTAAAGATAATAAATGCAGACGGTCTTGTATAATGGCAGCTTTAGTAATTAATTATGTCCAGTGGCGAGATAGGAGGACCCCTCTTGCCCAGAATCCGCAAGCCTAGCAAAAAGCTACAGAAATTCAATTAGGCTTATCCCATGCAATAACAACACCGGCAGCAACAACAAGAAGTAGAGCCGCAGAACAGCTGCAACACCTGCGCAATTAATTAGTGTTTGCCGCATTAATTTCAGAAAATAAAAAAAAAAACGAGATGGCCGAAAGGAAAAACCAAAGCCGACGCCAGATTGAA